GAGTGAGTGTACCATTAGTGGCTTGCTTGGAGACTTGTTCACCCATCTTCAAAACATCGTTCCAGCTCACTTTTTCTAGCGACGAAGCTACTGTTTGATCCAAACTCTATGAAAAAAAATAAAATCACTTCAATATTTTAGACATAAACAATGAAAAAATAAAACTTTATAATTATAGATGGAAAAAAAAAAGGAAAAAGAGAGAACCTGTAAGGTGTCATGGATGTTGTTAAGGTGCTCATTAAGAGTTCGAATGAGTCGGTCTTTCTCTCTTTCTCTTTTCCCCATTTCTCTCTGGTGAACCAGTTGGTGGCTTGGAGCTTGCGGTTGGAGGAGTCTACGGGTTCTAAAAGAGGTTTAGACTGGTGTTATATACGACGTCGTATTCATTTTCATTTTTTAAAATTATAATTAAGAAATTAATATTTTTATATCAGATAATAAATTATATTATTTTAAGAATATTAAATTCCTTACATTAAACATACACAAATACAAACCACGTTGTATCATTACAAGGTGTTATTATTGTTTTATGTTTTTTTGTGACAGTGGGTATTTAGGTTATTTTACGCATACTTCGATTAATTTTTGAAATCTTAAAATTACCGATCGAGTAAACCTTTCAGTAACTATTTCTATTAACCATTGAGTGGAATCAAAATTAAAACATTTTGAATTATACTAAAGAGTTCCTATCGCTTCACCCAATTATCTAGAAATGATTTATGTGTTATTATTTAAACGATATTTTTTAATAAATGTAAACAAAAGAATACAAGTTTCATTTCTATCGATGAATTTATATTTTTATTGATTAACTGATACCTTGTATCAATAAAAATATCTATCGATTCAATATACTATTTTACTAAGTGTTCATTCATGCATAAAAAATGTTCAATAATTAAAAAAAAAAACAATTGACCTTTTCTTCTATGTTTTTATAGTGAGTTAGCCCGAATAACCAAAATAAAATATTGCACAAACTTCTGCAGGTTGTACAAGTTTTGGTGTCAAAATTTAATCTCATTTAACTATAATAGCACAAGAGATATCACTGTCAAATTTCTTCAGTCAGTCAAGTTAAACCATTTTCTGGTGCAAATCTTCCATGAAAAACCCTCTCCCTTGCCATACTCACCTGCATTATGGAGGTATCCGAGCAACGAACATTAAAGTATATATGAATGAATATAAATTGTATTGCTGATGGAATCTAAAACTAAGAACAATTTCAGAATCCAAGTAGAAGGTAGACCTGTTTTTCCCAGTTTGTGCAACTTGTTATGATGATAAGCAAAACTGTTTGCAGAAGAGCACCAGCTTGTATTCCCATCCAGAGGCCTTGTCCTCCCAACTCCAACCAGAATGCCAACATGGCTGCAACTGGAGTTCCACACAGATAGTATGCAGCCAGATTGACATAAGCCCCCAAGTCCTGCCAGCCGCAGCCCCTTGCAACGCCTGATTTTCAAGCGAAAAACAACTCGATTAAACTGTGAAAACTATCCATCGAGTCGAGTAATAATTTCACGTAATAAGAGGAAGAGAAGACGAGGAACTGACCAGAAAGGACACACTGTAAGCTATCCAATATGACGGATAGACATATCAAAGGGGCCATTTTTGTGACATAATCTACAACTTCCTTCTCATCGCTAAAGACATAACCAAAAACATGCCCGCCCGCAAAGAGGGTGGTGCTTACTGTGATCGCCTCAGAGACTGCAAGAAACATCACAGCTTTGACAGCTATAGAGGCTGCTTGAGGATTCCCTGCTCCTAATTCATTGGAAACTCGAGTGCTGTCACAGCATAATGGGAAAAACGAAAGATGGATATCACCATATAAACTATGAAGAGATGAGTACTAAGTACGTGTGTTGAAGCAAACCTCGCAGCAGCACCAAGTCCATCTGGTATTGTATACAGAGTTGAAATTGTTGCTAAGCTGTTCAAGAATGGCGAAATAGAAATTCAATTTTCATTTTGGACTCGTTTCAAATTAAGAAGCTGTTACGAATAAAAAATCTTGACGAACTTTACCATACAGACAGAACTGAAGTTTCAAGCTCTGGATTTGGAAGAAGACCAGACAGCATTGTAAGAAACTCAAACGACCACCATTCAAGGCTTGACCCAGTATCATCATCAAAACATGAAAAGAGAGACATTGAATAAGTAGATGATAAAGCGAATACTTTAACTAACTACTAACTGTAATAAAATCTTTACCAAATCATAAAAGCAGAAGGAATCGCGAGGCCAAAGAACTGTCCAACTCCTTGGAAAAGCTCCATGGACACCGCGACACGGGTTGTCTCACAGGAGGAAGAGTAGCTGAAGTACAGCACAAGTAAAAGCACATTCAACCAATATGACAAACCGATGGCTAATGCCGCTCCAAGGTTACCAAATCCAGACTTGAAAACGAGAACCCAACAGAGAATCAAATGGAAAACAAGAGTAACGCAAGAGCACACGAGCAAGGGAAAGGTAAGACTTTGTGCTTGAAACAATCGAACAAGTGACTGAAGAGAAGCATAACCGAAAAGAGCTGGAATAAGCCAGATTGTGAATCTTCCAGCTTCTTGAGAAATTAGAGCGTCTTGGCCCATGAAAACGAGTATTTTCTCCATGAAAACCCACATGAGAGACACAGGAAAACAAACTAAAATCAAACAGAAAAGAGCGGTATAAGTCTGAGTTCCAAGCTTTTGATGCTGCTGAGCTCCATAGGCTTGGCCATTTAGAGTTTCAAGTGCAGTAGACATTCCAAACTGCCATTAATTCACATGTTCAATCAAAACCTCCAAATAGATGAATAATTAACCAGTTTGATAGCTAATTAATGTTAAGTTAAAAGCAATAAAAATCAATTGTTCAGGCTTCTAACTCTTTCAAAGAAAGGTTTTTAGGAAAGATTTGGAGTATGACAAACTTTCATTCGTCTTTTTTCATTACTACATACATCCCTTTTATAAGGAGAAAACGTTACAAAACCCTTTAATCTTCCTAACACACAAAACTGATCAAAATAACCTTTAATCTTCATCTTACTAACACACAAGACTGATAAAAAAAACCTTTAATCTTCATCTTCCTAAGACAAAAAACTGATAAAAAAACCCTTTAATCTTCATCTTCCTAACACAAAAAACTGATCAAAGAAACCTTTAATCTTCATCTTCATAACAAAAAGGTTCAATCTTTAACCATTAGCAAGCAAAAATCAGAGACTTACAACAAGACTGAAGCCGGTGACAGCGCAAAAAGAGATAGCTATTGCAGTGCTAGAAAGATAAAGCTCACCCAGATGACCCACCATCATCACTGCAATTATTTGCAGGAAATATTGTGACAAATTCACGGCCACCAAAGGCCCGGCAATGCATGCCACCCTCTTCACTTCTTCACCATAAACAATTCTCCATGAACTAATCCCAGTTAAACTTAAACTCCCTTCTCCCTCTTTATCTAACAGTCCCTTCTCCATTTTACTCAGAAATATCGTTTCTGTCACCCACTTTATGAATGTTTCATGTATATGTTTGGTTTTGGTTTTGTGTTGCTTTAAGGTGATTGAGTTTGAGACCTTTCTGAAAATATGAAAGTATTAGGAAGCACGGGGTTTACTTTGTAATTGGCAGTTACGCCATGAGGCTGCACGATTTTGTTTGTCCTTTTCACCGCTGACTAGGGCGTTCAAAAAAATTGTAAATATCGAAGCGAAAAACTGAAAAACTGGTTTGGCTACAGTTCAAAGAATTTAGAAAACCAGACTTTAGGTTGGTTTAGGTGAAAATGCAAACCGGTTTTCCCAACCATTTTACTAAAAAAATATATATTATATGTTAAATTAAAATAAAAAATAATCTAAAATTTAATTCAAGCAAAATTAAAAAAAAAAAAAGGAGTTTAATCCAATTTAAGGGGAAAACTGATTCAAAACCAGTTAACCGGTTTTTTCAAAGTGGTTAACCGGTCTTTTAGTCAACGGTTTCCCCTAAATCGTTTTGATTTTAGTTCAGAAATTTTCCTGAACCAAAAAACTGGTTCGGTTCAAGAAAGTGGTTAACTAGTTTGGTTAACCGTTTTTTAACACCCTTACCACGGATTGATGCATTTATGTCGGGTTTCACGTCGCACAAGACCTTAGCAACCGAGGAAGACAAGTTCAATTTTTTGGCGTGTTTTGCAATGTAATCAAACTATGAAGGGCTATTTAATAATCCACATAAACTCCTGCATTATCTATTTCGTGGAGGACTATTTAAATAACCCCAAGGCTAAAAATTGCACAAAAAGAAGGGCTTTGTAAAAGTTTTTCACTGTTTTGTGAAGAAGTTTGGTGCCCTCCAAGTAAGTACAACGACCAGAGAGAAAATGAAAGAGACAAAGTAAAACGACAGAGAGAAAATGAAACAGAGAAAGTGGTAGGTATATGTAAAAACCATGGGAATGATCAAGCTTTTTGAGTCTGAAAGCATCAAAAAAGTTGCTGCAGAATTGTATAAAGCAAATAGTGAAGGCACTGGCCATTCCTGACTTTTTGCCGCAAAAGAAAGAAAATTCAAACACAACTTATGGTTTTAAACTTTTAATGGTAAATATATATTTAAACAACTACTCCATAAAAAAAGGGTATTTATTTATTTTTCAATGAGAAGCTAGCTAGAGATCAAATCACTGGAAATTGTTTGTTACAAACTTCTGCAAATACTGCAACTTCAGTTGTTTCTCTGAAATTCATGCTTAATTAAGAACAACTTCAGCATATCTATTAGATATCCCACGTACAAGCACAACCAAAGACTAATGAGAAATGACACAAACTGGTCATGATTTTGAGATTTACGGGACTGAAGCCAGTGACAACTGAGAGAAAATTGTTGTATGTGTTAAACAATCCAAAGAAATAAGAAAAAAAAAACGAGGCTAGGGTTTCATTGATACTGTACAATGCAATCAAATACAAAAGAATGATTTAACTTAAATACAAAGAGACTATATATAGGCTAAACAAAATAATGAAAAGATTAATCGATCTTTAATAAACAATAAAACAAAATAACCCTATATTTCTTAACAGTATGTAGCAGTTGATAAAGTGGGCTTGGGTAGAAATCACTCCCAAAAGCTAGTTCAAGGGATGAGGGAGCCCAACCACTTATATACACCATAATAGCCCACTATTGGGGCGATGTTGGACAAATTCAACCACTACAAGAAAACTGACATTTTGCAACCAGTTTTTTAACAACTAACTAGAATTAGTTGCAAAAAGGCTACATTTACCAACTAAATTGACATTAGTCGAGCAAAGAGAATTAAAATTTTGGGGCCCATATGTTCCAACATTTGGCATCTAAAGTCAATTTTTTGCGACTATTTTGTTAGTCACAGAACCGGTTGCTTTAGTGACTAATAAATTTAGTTGCAATTTTTTCCGGGTGATTTTTCCCTCCAAAATTTGATAATTTGCATCTAAAATATTATATTTTACATCTACATTTTTTGTTACAAAAAACAATTTTTTGTAACTACCCCTTAGTAGCTAAATTAGTTGCGAATAATTAGGAATTTATTAGTAACTATTATGATTAGTTGTAGAAAATTGAAATTACCAAAATATCCCATATTTGGACAGTAATTATAAGGGCCTCAAAGTATATACAGCAACTAAATTTGATTTAGTTGCTAATTTAACTTAAAAAATTCATATTCCCCCCAAATTATTTGTTCCCGCCAGACCTAAATTATAAGCAACTAACACTAAACTAAATTTTTAGTTACAAATTGATTTATTTGCATAATAGAATTATATTTCAAAATTAAATAACTAATTAGAACCCTTATTTTTTTAAGTTATTTATAGAATACCCTAACCTATATAAAGCAAGCATTTTTGTCAATTTAATATCTCTTCTCCATGCATGTTTGCCCTAGCTTTTTTCCCAAATTTCCCAAACGCACAACCCAAATTTCATACCTCTTCTCCACACATGTTTGCCCTCCCTGTTGCCCGAATTTCTGAACTGTAGAACCTGGCTTCATCTTTTCCCCACGCATCTTCATCTCTTCGATCTGACGCGTCTTCATCTTAATCGCTGTTGCCCGAATTTTCGAACTGCAGAACCTGACTTCATCTTTTCCCCATGCATCTTCATCTCTTCGATCTGATGCGTCTTCATCTTAATCGCTGTTGCCCGAATTTCCGAACTGCAGAATCGGAGTTCATCTCTTCTCCACGCATCTTCATCTTTCAATTTATCTTCTTGGCTTCCTTCCTTCATCCAATACGACGCAGTCCCTAATCTCCCGTAAGTACAATTTTTGATTCTTTAGTTCTCTCACATGGTAACATTGAATCTGATTTCAAATTTTTAGAAGCTGATGTATTTTCGTTTATTGACATTGCATTGATTTTTGTTTATTATACGCGTCATTTCTTCGTTCACTTAGAGTTGTTTGTGTGTTTGATAAGAAGATTGAAGTCTTGTGGTTTGATGACAGAAGTTGAAGTATTGGTGTGTTTAATTGCTACTACAATATTGGTATTTTTGATAAGAAGTTGAAGGATTGAATTACGGAGATTGAAGTTCTGTGGTATGTTTGCCCTCAAACCAGTTTAGTTGCTTAAAATCTCACTAAACTTATTGCTTTTCACAGGAAAACTCATGACATAGTATATTTTATGTGCTATTATGATTAAGATTATCAAACTTGTTTTAATTGTGGTTTGGGAGAGAAACTAAGATGCATCTGATAAGAATCCTAGAGTGAGCTGTTAAAAAACTTGTCGTTTGAGAATTCAATTATGTTTGAGTGTACTGTAAATGTGGACAAACTATTTGAGACCTTTAATCTTGTAATGCTATTTATGCCACTTTTGGCTGACTTTATTTGACACAGCTGGCTGAATAAAACCATGTTGATGCTTAGCCAACGTGATATAAATGCAGATAATGTACAGTCTCATATGCATGGATTGGATAAGAGCATGCTATTTTAAGTTGAACGATCATAACATATATTATTTCTTTCAATTTTCTAATTATGTGGAGAATCAGAGTCTTATTAGCCAGTTATGAATTAAAGAAGGTCTAGAAGAGAAGAATTAAGAATTGATGAATGGTATAGATGATATACATGTGGCAGATTTGAATTTCTTATTCATCATATCCTGTTCGTAATCCAACAAAGCTTAAAATGAAAAATCCGGTAGAATAGAAAGATATTCATATTCTGTTTGTTGTTGTTGTGGTTGTTGCTATTTTGTGGGGTGGTGAGGGTTGTTTACTGAAATGCTAGTTGTCACGATGCTAAACATGTAAAATGTGCAGTCGTAATTCTTGAATGCATCCAATTATTTTGAGTGAACCATTTTGCCTTTAAAGTGAACTCTATGCCTTTCTTCTTCCTAGTCTTATGACCATAAACTGTTCAAAGTTACTTTTTTTGAAAATCCCTGTCATGGATCCAGTATTGTTGATAGTATTCACTCCCCTTGGTTATGGTATGTTGCTTCATTTTTTTCATCTTGCTTGTCAACATTTTCAACAATGGTGACGTTTATTTATGATAAGGCAAACATCTATGTTTGATCAGCTTTGATTGTGACTTACATTGAATGTTTAGAGGATAATTTTACACTGAATGAGGTTATGTGACAATTGTGCTGGAATTATTATTGCTTCTATTTATTGCATTTATATGGGGTTATAACTATTAAGATTTCAGGGCAAGAAATGTTGATAGTAGTCTTTGGTTCTTACACTCATATTTGCCTTTTCCTTTGTTAACCATTATAAGATAAGTGATTGTTGATATAAAAGAGTTTTTATGTGTATATACTTAATTAGAAGCTATAATTTCAGCTTGAATTTTAGCGAGTGTCCACTTTCAGATGCTTTTTATGAAAATAAATTTTCTGTTATGTTTTCATGTTTCCTGTAGCGTATGTGCAATATCTGTGGACATGTAACAATTTTTGAATGATAGAAGCATTGAAAAAGGGTTGTCATCCAATTATTTTGAGTGAACCATTTTGTGCTTGGCTGCTTTTGATTGTTTTGCTCACACTCATCTTTCACTATCTCTATTAATCTCAAATTTATATATTCTTGTTGGCTTTAGTAGGGAAACAATTATGTTTTCTAAGTTGTTTGTTAATTATATGCATTTATGTTAATCGAATACAACGGTTTCGGTTTTAAGATAAACTTATTAGCCTAAAAATAGTGTTACATATAAAAACTGATATAACATTTTGAAATGACTATTTAAGTAAAAGATGTAGTTTAAAGGATGTCTTGCTAAAGTTGGTTGACTGATTTTTACTTACAATAAAAGCACCATCACAAGTTTAGAGATTCACACCTAGACATATGGTTTACTAAACCACGGGATGATGAAAAAATTAACCATATTTCATTCACATAATAATCCAATTTTACCTTGAATTGTATAAACAAAAGAGTAGTGATATTACAATTATCAATATGGATCAGTGCAAAGTACATATCCTCTGAATTATAAACTGATCTTCCTTATCTTTTACTCTTGTTGCTTGTTTTCAGGCTGCCTTTGACTTTAATTTTAGCCATTGCTTGCTGATTCATTTAATTTTGAGTGTGGTATT